CCATCGCCGTCTTGTATTGCTTTCTTCTGCTTTAATTAAAAAAAATTCCCGAAATAGACCGCGCCGTAACGCTAATAACACAGACCGCAGGTGTTTTCCCACATCATAAGCCTTTTCCCAGGAGCGCCTTTACTTAAATGCAAGCATCCAGCCATTTCCTGATCGTGTTACTTAACATTCCTTCAGGCGACATCCGTTGCCCTACTAGATCCACTTAAGAACCCTTGAGACCGTCGCTAAGGACCAACTCCAAGGTTGTGGGAAAAAGGAATTTGATCCCGACTTCTTGGAGATAAAACTTTACTACTAGGAGATAAGGGGGAGGGAACACGTGGGAGAGAAATAGCAAAACATAGAGCTGGGCTATGCTATATCGGGTACACACGGCTCAAATGATCAAATCTATAAAAAGCTTTCCTTCGGCGTAACACACCAACTTTGCAGGCACGCGGCGCGGTGGCAGATAACTATATTACACCGAACGATCTGTTACACCTAACCTCAGTGAATTGCACATCTAACCCCAAACGTCGTTTGAAGCTATCTAATGACAATGCCCCTACTGTACTTGGTGACAGTGAGTTCCACTCTGTGATAGTTCTAGGAAAGAATGAATTCTTGAACACCTCAAGCATTGGTTGATAACTCCGGTACTTGAAAGCATGAATTTTCTTGTTCTTTTCTAAGCTGGTATTGAGAACTTGAAGATATATTTAGAAATGAGGCGGTGAATACACTATATATATACATTTCAATAGATAGTCTTAAATCTTTAATACTGTAAGATGCCTAAGCGTAGCTAATGTTGTTTACTATAACCTGGTAATTTTTACGTATAGCTTTTCTATACAGCTTTGAGGTAGCGTTTCATAGCGGAAGAAACAAATTCTAAGTGAATGAAATTTAATAAAACGCGGGGCGGTTTTTCTGAAGACCCTGTGCTACTCTAGATCTTTGCGGTTTGGAATTGAATCATATCGCGTTCCAGAAAACGCTCCCCTGTCCTGCGACAGTGTTAGAAACACCGGATTAGCGCGCTTGACTTTGGTTTGCCGGTTCCTTATTAAATCAGTCCACATTCCCGACACTTTATCGTAGCCTTCTGAGCGGGCTTAGCGAAGGGCGTTTCAATATTGCAGATTTTGCTGTTCAAACCGGACATTGTAGCCACGAAACGTCTTACCATTTTCTGTCATAAGGTTTTCGGCGGGTCTATGGCAGCTTGTTTTGCCACACTAGTATGACTGAATCTTGACTGAATCCACGACCGTCCTACAAATGTCCGCAGTCTGTCGTAAACATGTCGTGCGATTTACGTAACAGAGCCTTAGCTTTAGGTACAGTGTCTGGTTTCTGTCGTACTCGTAGCAGTGCTACTAAGTGTTTTGGGATTTTTATTTTATTTTTGTTCATCTTTCTCGTAGTGCACCGTACCCCCCCCCCC